CCCCCCCCCTTTCAACTCCACCCTAGCGCGCCTCGGGGTCAACCGTTCGAAAACACTGTAAATATCAGTGTTTTCAGCTCTTCCAGTCCTCAGCAGTGACCAAAAATCATGGAATTTACAGCGTTTTTTTGTGGCTGTCCGGCAAAAAACACCGCAAAAACCGATGGTTTTTGATGCGTCTCGGTTAGAAAATGACCGAAAAAAGAACAAAAACCAGGAAAGATTTTGTCAGAAAGGGTTTTTGAGGCTTTTGGAGGCTTCAAAATTGCACAAAATTATGGTATTTACAGGGTTTTGTGCACCTTCCCGGCAGAAAACGCCGGTATTTACATGGTTTTCTGCGCTTTTCCAGCGCTCAACCGTGGTGCGCCTTTGGATCGACGGCTACAAAATACCGTAAATACCAGTGTTTTCAGCTCCTCCTGTCTTCAAGCGTGGCCTTAGACCTTGCCGCGGCTGTGGATCGACGGCAACGAAACCTTGTAAATACCAGTGTTTTTGAGCACGTCCTGTTTGCAAGCATGGCCTGCGGCCACGCAATTTACAGGGTCGCCGCACGTCACTATGTAAATCCGAAGTGACTCCTTTTGAAGGCACGTCAACCTGTATTGAAACCGCTAGACCGCTACAGCTTCTGGAGGTTTTGTCAAGCGTTTGTGCACTAGTCTTTCTTTCATCACGCTCACTCACTTCTCTTCAAGCAAGTGGGGGGGCCTCTCACCTCCTCCCGGATTACGCCTGATTCCCTGCTACCTTTCGTTCACCCCCCTCCTCTCTCAAGTTGTATTTAAACTATGATTTAATCTAAGTTTCATCGTTTCAAATAGAATAGGGTTAGAAGAAAGATAGAATTGAAATACGATTGCTTAACCTGCAGCTCGATTAGAATTCACTTACTGTAATAATGAATGAGAATTGAACTTGAATGAGAATTAAAGTTTAACTGACATTTACAATAGAACTAGATTAGGATTGAATTCAATTTCAATCAGAACTGAATACAAATCAAATTGGAAATTGAAACTAAACTAATGTTAAATCATTTAGATTCAAATTTGAATTCAATCAGGTTCAAATTCGAGTTTAAAATCCTAAGTTAGAATTAAGTTAGACTAAAAAATATGTGAACTAGAGTTCAATAGAATGAATCTTAATTAAGATGTCAAGTTTTTGACATTCAGTTCAACTTGGGTTTAAAGCAATACGCTGAATTTGCATAACACTTAAAATAGAATTGGATTAGATCTAAAGTTGAAGTCCACTGGAAATAGAAGACAATTTGTATTTCAAAATGAACATTTGATTATATTACAATTCAAATCTAAATCAACTTCCAATAAATTTATACAGGTTGTGCAAACGCCCAAAGGACCAAAACATTGAAAAAATTGAGGATAGTTTTTGGTTCAGCCTCAAAAGATCTGTTTTTGTTTTCATTGTGTGTTTTTTGTGTTGAGATCCAAAAACAAAAAAACATCGCGGTTTTTGAAGGTTTATTGTACTAGAACACTGCCAGAAACCAAAAATACACGTGTATTCTTTTTGGACTATTTGATGTTTGGTTTTACCATTGCAGACGTTTGCGTTCAGGAAGTTTATGAATGCTCCTTCCACATTGTACTCAGCGCAAAACCCAGAAATAGCGTTTACAAACGATTGCAAAAAAGAGGGAGTTCAAGATTCAAGACTCAAGATTTCAGATTCAAGATGTAAGATTCAAGGTTCAAGATTCAAGGCCTAGAAAGAAGTTCTTGAATCCTGTTTTCACAACTTGAACCCAGGATCCAGAGTTTGGAACCCTGGATTCAAGAACATTTTTCTAGGCCTTGAATCTTGAAACTTGAATCTTGAACCCCCTCTCGTTTGCAAACGTTTGCATACGCTATTTCTGGATTTTGTGCTGGGTACAGTGTGGAAGGAGCATTCATAAACTTCCTGAACACAAATGTTTGCAATGGTAAAACCAAACATCAAATACTCAAAATGGGGGATGTGTTTTATGTGTTTCCTTTCATTTGTTTTTGTTTTTTGAATTGGGAAGTGCTTTGTTTTTTGCTAGATTTTTACACTGAAAAATATGCATACAACACTGTAAATACCAATCAACACCAAAAGAGGTAGACATTTGGGGGGGTTCCATAAAATATATATATGGGGACACCCCCATGACCTAGCTAGAGCTGTTTTCTGTGGGCCTACCCATACAAAAGCTAGCTGCTTAAAATGGTTTTTGTAACATGTGTTTAACGTGTGCAAAAGCCTCCGCTGTTTATCATTAAGTGACAAAAAACAAAACAGAAACAACACATGCACTCTCTTTTTTCTGGAAGTTTGGCTTCAGGCTTATGTTTTTTGTTTTTGGTTTCGCTTACTTGTTTTCTGTCTAAGATTGCCAAAACATTTGATTATTTTGTGTGTTTCCCATTGTGATAAAAGAAACAAAAACAACACAAAGTCTGAAGCCAAATTTCTCAAAGATTTTGTCTTTTTTGGTGTTTGGTCAACAGTTGTTAAAACTAGAAGGTTTTTTTAGCACGTATGTTTTAAACACTCCTTTAAACCAGCAGGTTTGTAGCACTAATCCTTTTGAATTTCCGTTGACATTCTGTTTGATTCTAATATATACGGTATTCCACTTACTTTTTCGTTGGTTCCTATTGATTTCCTTTGTAGATTGCTTAATCAGTTTAGTTTGGGTTAGCCCTGCAATCACGTCTACGCTTTTCATTTTTCTTTATGTTTATTTGTGAATGCTCTTATAAAATGTCATTTGCCTTTTATTGATTTCCTATTGAATTCCTTTCCTCTTGTTTTTAGATTAGTCAATCAATTTGTTCTATTATCCTCCATCATATTTCCAATCAAAATATCACAAAAAAAATTCCAGAAAGGGGTTAGCCCAGTACGCCAGAATCTTGAATAGGAAAACCATCTATATACATCAACGTTTGTCCCTTTTCGCTCTAATATTAGCGTCCACTGAGTTTATGTTTGCACTTTTTTCATTCTTCAATTATACTTCCCTCTCAAATATCGTTTGAAAAAAATCACATCCCCTGCAATGATCCCGACCCCCTTGGTGGATTGATTTTTGCAATAGTGTGATATAATATTAAAAGGGATTATCTAAGCAAGAAAATAACCAAAGAACTCAAAAGGTAATCAACAGAAATCAAGACGACATCAAAGGGAATCAACAAGAACCAACACGAATTCAATAGGTAATCAATAAAACCACAAAGAGTTTTCGCAAGGAGTTTTCCTTTTGATTTCTATTTACATTCAGTAATCAATTTCTTTTTATACCCGTATCAAATTATATCAAACTATCATACTATTGCGCAATCTTTTCCACAAGGGTTACCCCACCACGCTAGAAATCTTAAAAAAATAGCTTCACCCTTCAATAATGTTTGCCCTGTTTGGCTTTAATAAACACATATAAACACATCCTCCGCAGTCACATCTACGCTTTTCATTTTTCTCTATCTTTATATGTGAACTCACATTTGTTTAAAATTCTTGTTGCATTGATGACCTATTGATTTCACTTTTTTGTTGATATCCTTTTAAATTCCTGTTGATTTCACTTTAAGCTCTTGAGTTGATTTCTTGTTGACTCCCTTCTGAATTCTTGTCAAAGTATTGCAAAAATCTATGCCACACAGGGGGTAGCCGAGTACAGAAAAGCAGCTGACAAGCAGGAAAAGGTGAAGAGCTGAGATTAACGAAAAGTGGAATACGAAACGTGGAAGATCTCAAAAGCGGAAAAGCGGGAAAAGGTAGATCATGGGGGGCGAGCGTTTATATATATATATACATTACGAAAGCCAGCCGATAGGCTAGGCTGAAGTGCTTGATGGGTTGCGAGGTGGTGCCTGGCGGGTAGGGTGAACCCAGAGCCTGGTGGGGGAGAGCGAACAAAAGGCGGTGGCCAAAGTGTATTCAAAATGCATGTTTATACGGGCCTTGGCGATGCGAGTGACGCCAAAATGGTTTAATAGTGCATCAGTAGCATCACAAAGTGGCCAGGACACCACTTAAGTGGACAGCAGCCTGTCTAATTGTGTGTGTGGTTACTTCCCGGCATGGACGCGCGGGCTGCCACCGTTTTCTGTACTGCTTTGCTGTAGAGACATGCAGGCAGGCTTTATACTGGCAGCAGTGAGTGCGTAGAACACCATCTAAGTGGTCCAAGAGATCGTGGGCCACCGTAAGTAGCGGACCCAACGGGAAAGGCCATGTGCGACGGTGCCGTTTTTGATCGCTTTGTCAAAGTTATGGGGAAGATGGGCACCAGCAAAGGAGTGCTATCTTCTGGGATCTAGCAGGCCCCCCCCAAGCAGCTGTAAAGAAAACACGGTGACAGACTATGTTTGTCAGTGTCTACAAAGGCTGGCTTTCGTCCCCTGCTTGTTCAGGTATATATATGTACATATATCAATAGGCCTTGACCCTTTTCCTATATTGACTTCTCATTACGCAGCCCGTTCAAGTATTCACATGGAATGACACCAAAGTCACCAAAGTCATACCCAAAGATGGTCTAAAGGTGGCCCAACTCAACAACGACCCATCCGAGCCTTTGCGCGATTGACTCTGCACTTCACACTCCGCAAAACAATGTCTCTCTCTCTCTCGCTCTCCCCTCTCTCTCTGATTGGAAAGACCACACTGGTGCACAAGAAGTGCGCGTGTTTTTGAGTAATTTCTTGGAGTTGACCGGTGAAAAAGGATTGCTCTTGTATAGGAATGTACTGAACCTTTCTGACGAATCTTCGCTTCCAACGCATGTCACTCGTCAAGGTTGTGCTTGTCGATAATTTTATATAACAAGTTGTGTTCTGTCCTCTCATTTGGGGGGCCTTTTGATTGTCCTGCACAAAAGATGTGTTACTTCCGCCACTTCCATGTATTTGTTTGTTATTTTTTGGAGCATGCACATCCATCCATCTTAAGGGGATGATCAGGTGAGCAAAATAGGTTAAAACACATAGAACACGACGTCCTTGACAATGGAATTACAATTACACCTCATATTCAATCTTTGTTCGTGCAAGAGGAAGGTTGACGCGAGATTCAACCGTTTTTTTTCCAGACAGCCGCCAGCGTCCTAAGAGTCAAAACGACTGCATCACTGTTGCTTGTGCGCTGCACATTTTACTTTACAGTTTTACAGGTGTTTACACAAGCCGGAATAATGCAAACCAACAAAGGATGGATGAGGTGGCTAGACCCCGTTATTAATGCCGAACATGGTGAAAGGAAGAGCACGTTTGCTGCTCCTGCGACTGCTGTGGGTTTATATCCTTTTGTTTGCAATGCTTGCTATGGTGATTCTGCAGTTGCAACATGTTGGGTCTTCTATCCTCAGCACGTTCATCACCTTGCTCACACAATACTTTCTCAAGTTCGCAACAACACCATCAGACATCATCCTTATTGTCATCGTGATCGTCAGTGTCAACATCTTAACAATGTATAAGAATTGAAAATAATAGCAACCATAATCATCAAAATGGATTTCACTATATACATTTTGCAACATCATAATCTGTTTTACAAAATTGCCAATTGAATTGTCACTGGCTCTTACTGTAAGTGTCAGAAGGACCGTGCGATTGAACTGGGGTGTGCAGGGTGGACCGGGTAGGTGGCTATTGATGATCGGCGTGATTGCAACGAAGAACGATGTTGTTGCTTCGTGAATGATTTGCTGCGGCGCTTGAGGGGTGTGGAGGGTTCTAGGTCCAGAGGTTGAGGGGAGCAAAACCTGGGCAGCTTTTGGATGCAGATTCAGGCCAAAACAATACAAAACACGCGAAAGTGCTTGGCTCAGCCTTCCCATTCACCCAACATGTTGTAGCCAAGCCAGGAAAATTGCTTGAGTTTGATTCACACTCCTTAGCTTCGACCCCATACTGTTAATACTACTCGTCTCCGAACTCTCAACCTCATGCCTTACTTTTTGTGCCTAAAGGCCTTTGCAGGGTACATATCTTAGATGAGACAGTATCTATGTATTGCACCAATTTACAATATTTCACAATATAGTACTTAAAATTGCTTAAACTATATTACATACGATTTGTGATATGAGAAGTAAAGTAACCGGTGGGGAAGCTTGGCAGAGCATGCACGGGCATTTGTGACAGGTACAATCCGAGCCGAGGGCACTGGGGAGACTATTCCGGGTTCGTACCGGAACAACAGGTCTGGACCTTGAGCACTTTTAGGTATGATGACTGTATGAGGCCATCGCTCTTAGGTTGGAGGCCATTGCTATTAGGTTAGAGGCCATTGCTATTAGGTTAGAGGCCATTGCTACTAGGTTCCTTTTGTCATTAGATTGGAGGCCATCTGTATATACTTAAGGATCCTTATGGAGGATCCCTGAGCATCGTTGAGCATTGAGGTGCTTCTCCTTCTCAGGGACAGTGGCCTTGTCCCCAAGAGTCGGGGCCTCTCAATCCAAATCAGACTCTTCCTATGCCCTATGCTTGAACAAAAAGAAATCAAGCCGGCACTGAGTTATCTAGCTCATAGTTGTGCACCCATACCCACAAGAATTGGCCACCTTCGATGTTGAGCGACATTCTGAGAATAAAGTCTGTGATCTTGCAAACCCTGAAGCATTGGATAGCATCGGTAATGTTTTAGAAATCAATTGATGATATCATGCCTGCCTTGTCCTTTCGAACGTTTCTTTTGTCACTGGATAAGAGTCAAATGTATGTTGCATGTTTCAATGGGATGACACAATACTATATTATTTTGAACTCTGTTTAGTCGAGAAAGGACAACATAGTTGGAGGTGTGTATATATAGTTTGCTCCTCGTAGAGAGCTTCTGATATGTTTAACTCGCACTGATTTGAAAGATGTTCTACACTCCGAAGCATCACAACAAAATTTGATTGAACGAGGACCGTTTCTCTTGCTGAAAGCGGTACCGTATCCACGTATAAAGGCATATTAAAGCATTAAGTGCCGTATCCGTATTAGTGGCATCAAGAACATTTGAAATCCTTTGTATGTTCAAAGGCTTGAGCCTTTCTTGCAAAATTGCAGGTCCAGCTCGGGTCATGCAGGTGAAGTCCATGCTACAGAGCTTGTTGCGTCGGTGTCCGAGTTTGTGCTTTTCTGCATTGTTCTACTTGATGGGCTGGCGCTAACCCTATCTAGCCCTTCCTCGAATAAGGTCCTGATGGCACCGTCAGTTTTCTGGACTTTCTGAAAGTAGTGCATGGGCCTCAGGTGAATTGCTGCAAGTTGCAATTGAACTAGCTGAACGGCGAGACATTTTGAAAAGCTTTTACACATTTGGAGGTTCCTTCTAACCTAAAATTTCGAGATTTGACAGTGTAGAAGTCTATCTGAACTTGAAGCTTCTAGATATAAACTAAATATAACTAAGCGCTTACTTATATATATATTATAGACAATTGCTGCGACTCAGTCTCAGTTGGAGTGGTTGGACAGATTTATTTTGAGTACAATTTGCAATTTTGATTGTTGCTTGACAGACACTTCCATGTCACATTGCTACATTGTTTGGGGCACTCCTAGATTCATCGAACCAACGCCTACAGACCGCCACAGGCGAAAACCAGCGGGCTATCAACCACTTAGGGTCTACAGTTTTTGCATGTTTTAGCCTTTTCCCCAATCGTGAGTCTTTGCACCAAAGTCGTCACGATTGCTTTGAATTGGTCAAAACCCTATAACTTTCTAAACCGCAAATCCACCCCTCCAAAGCCAAAGCCTTTGTGTGCCTAGAATGGTGCGGCTATTGTTCTTTACCGGACTTAGTCTCAACCTCGTAAAGCCATCCGATTGACCAATGCGATGCCAAAGCCTCCAACCGCCTTTGTAGGGAGTTCAGCTTCCCCTTGAGGCCCGCTGCAGTAGGTAAATGGTTGGCCGCCCAAATACTATAGACACAGTCATGCGATTGCTGATTGCTGTTGTAGCCGCAGAAGTGCTTGGAACGATAGAAGGAGCAGAGAAAGTATGTGCTCTGATTAGAACTTGCACTTTTGGCATTGCTTCAGAATGCCTACCTTGTTCCCTCGCTCGTACTGCCACAACGAGCACTGGTAGTAGTGCTTCCTCTATGACCAGTGGTGGCTCGACCTACACCTGAAAGCCTAAAGCTGGACGACTTTGCTTCGCTCAACTGGCAACTTATATAATAGGTTTCAGAATTTTTTTACGCACTACACAGTCTTGATTCTTCGCAAACATTCAGATCATCGATATTTCTCTCGGCGTTTTCTCAGCGAAATGTTCTTGTGTTTTCGTTAGTTTGCTGCTTTTCAACTCCAACTTATTCATCACAGTTTCAACGTTGAGGACCTATTTAAAAGACCTTGAGAAGGAGAAAGTTGGGAAAGCGCCGCACAGATTTGTGTACGTAGTTCAAGCATTTTCAACCATGTGTTTGTTGTTGTTAAACAGATTGTCGACCGCAATCTGGCCAGATTGTCGACGAGCTCACAGACCAGAATTGCTGCGTTCCTGTCAGGGAGGCCGAGAAGTTGAGGTAGGCAGTCGAGTATGGAGCTGGTTATGTTGAGCCGTTGAGCCATGTTGAGCCTGTCAGGTTTGCACATTCTTTCGATCCTGCGGCTTGATTTCGAAGGCACCCTCACTTTTGGCTTTTGCAGCACTGGAAGACCACAAGAACAGCTGTGGCTGTATATGCTGACATTCATTGCAATGTATATATTTATATATATAATTATACGTGATTGGAGATGCAAGAAGTGGTCCAAAAGCAGTTCCCTGAGGTTCAATCAGAAAGGATGGAGGCGCAGATTCTCAACAGAAGTTCAAAAACAACAATCAAAAGAACAATGCCTCGTGAGGTGCAAGAACTGGTTGATCAAGGCGGCGTAGAAAGATCGTCAATCATTATCCAAGAAATTCAAAGAATAGATTACTTTTTTCAATGCCTTTTGGTTTTCTCTGGGAGATGCTTGCTAGGAGATGGTCGAGGAAGCAAATTTCTGGGTCGTGCTCCAGTCATCGAACTCTGTCGGCCTTCAGCTGCAAAACCTATACGGCCATCGGATGGAATGATACGACGCAGCCAAAGCCTGATACATGAGCGAGTACACTAGCCTGCTAAGGGATCCGACTTCATGCCCTGCTCAAGGCTCTTAGTTTTGCTTTTGCAGCGCCATATTACATTTATGTTTCAAATGTGTTTAAATGTTGTTACTTGTTTTAGGTGACCGCAGTTGAGCGAGAGCGCCAGTATGTGCTTACAAATGGGGGGTGGTGTGCGGCCCAGAAGCACCATTGCCATAGCGCACTGTGATGCACTGTGTACGTAAGCCGAACCTCACGGAATTCGTTAATCCATGATCGGAATCTCACTTTTGTGAGGACTGAACATGACTACATTGATTTCAAGAAAGCCTTCCACCGGTACGATGAGGATCCGCACATGGATATAAGCAGAATCTGACAGTCAAGCAAGCACTTCTAGTTGGAGGCCAGTCAGTCATCTCAACTGATCGTCGTTTTGAGGACATGTCAGACATACTGGAGCGAGATGAGCTCAAGCCTAAAACGATTTCCCAAGCATTTGGGGCTGGAGCTTTTCATATCCGTTGCACTGGCCATTGGATTTAATTTCAATATCACTACTGTACCTTCACCTACCGCTAGGCCATTTCTTTGCCACTTGGCTGAGGCTGGTCCAGGCGATGGATCTTTTGCGTGGCAATGTTTGGAGAGCGCAGCATTCGACCCAGCTTCACCAAGGGGCTGAAGTTGATGTTGACGCCAGCAGCAAGAGACATGTGCAAGACGTGGACTTGAAGAAGACGCCAAAAAGGAAAAGACGATGCTAAGAAGAGGCGGTGTTGAAGTTGGCCGGTTCAAGTCTAGATTTCGCAGGGCGAGTGTGAACATGATGCTGGCAGCTTGCGGAGTTGAGAGTGAAAGGGAGATCAAGGCCAGAAGTAGCAGCAACGGAAGAAAAACGCAAGGATCCAATGCGATTTTATCATGAAGCAGCATAGGAGTTATAGAATCTCGGATGGACATCTGAGTTTTGATCGAACTCTGAAGCTCACAGGTGAACTTCATGTCGTTTCTTCGCTTGCTGCGACTCTGGCCCATGTTGATCCGCCGATGTGGGAAAAGGTTCAAAGAGCCAACCGGAAAAGAGAACGGGATTGAGATGTATGTAACAAAGACATGTTGTGTTCTTCCACTTTTCAAAGAACATCAGGATGGGGACAAAAAAGGGCATGCCACAAGTCCCAAAACTCATGTGTGCTCCAGTCCTTTCACTTGCAACACCGACCTTGGCCAGGAAGCTGGTTGATGAAGTGGAAACGCGCCACAATTTGGGCATCACCATGGGATTCTCCCCGGCCAAGCACTCAGGCAGACTAGCTAAAAGAACTGAAACTAGGAGCAAGGGCATCGCTAGTTAAGTTAAGTTGATCATTTTGAATTTGTATCTGAAACTTGCCCAGGAACGGACGGACCGCTTGTACAGTGGCTTCCAGGCCATATTTGCCACAGGCGGTAGACGGAAGCTCTTGTCATCATTGTGAGGCCCTGGATCATGAAGGCCACGGATATGTGCAGAAAGCGTGATACACTCAGCAGATTTTGAAAGGCTCCCTTTTTCATTTGCAAGAATTGACATCGCAGCTGTTTCTTATCATCAAGCCATACTCTTTCCACATTGCGACAAAGCTCCAACCTCACTCTACGGTTGAACCAGTCCAGAGTGCAAAGCGCAGTGCAGTGGCCCATTACATTTCAATCAGCGAAGTCATGGATCGGCGGCAGTCAGTCCATTTGGTGATACATGCCCTGTTCCTGTGTCTTGGTCCAAGAATCTCCAAGAACAGCAGAAGGCTGAAGGCCTGTTAAGCAAAGCACTTGACTTGAGGACACAACACTGTATACATTTGTATACAACATATTTTTGCGCAGATTGTTTTTATTTCAATCCATGTTTTTTCTCAGGCTAGTGACGCCCTTTGTGCATGCAGCTCCCGAGAAAGACCGGGTTCATCATCTTCCTGGCTTAGAGGGTACGCTCTTGTCAGCAACTTATTCAGGCCGGAAGTGCTGGATATCGCTGGGTGCATATTGAATCGAAGTGCCCAAACCATTTCTCCCACTTGATTACTCTCCTTGTAATTGTTGTATCAGGCTACGTTTCAGTTGGTGATTCGGATGGTCGCAAAATGTACGAGCATTACTTGTTCTTTGAAAGTGAAGGAGATCCCAAGAAAGATCCGTTTCTGGGCGTGCCTGCATGTATAGCGTTTTGATCCTTTTTGTATTTCTTGTTCTCGCCCTCATGAATGCAAAGTAATATACTGTATACCACAAGACATAAATCATAATGTTCAAATCGTAAGTTAATAGATAATAACCTGTCGGGTCATGTGATATTCGCAGATGATTGAAGCCAAGTTGCTCATGGCGTGAAAGTACTGGACACCATCCTGGAGATGCTAGAATTAAAGTGCATGTTGTCAGTTGCTTTTTGGACAGGACGAGAACATACAAACCAAGGCTCATCATGTGGACCAATGGAGGGCCGGGCGCGTCGTCTCTCATTGGTTCATTCACGGAGCTGGGCCCATACTACTTGTCGGCAACTTCCCTTTCCACGGAGGCGATGAACAATGTCAGAATGGAACCACTGACGCCACACCATCCTTCAAACTGCATACAGCACGGACTGATGTCCAACCTGATGAATCGAAATGGTCCAGCGAGTAATTATATACCTGTCTTGCCTTAGGACTACAGAAAAAACTGGCATTCCAAGTTTGTTCTACAGCCCATACCGATGCTTGGCTAGTTCTGCTGGACTTTCCTCTTGCATGTCTTTTTTGACATATCATATCATTGTTTTCTGCTTTATTTAAGTGTGTCTTCTGTCAGCACTTGGGCATAAAGAGTTTGTAACACGACAGTGTTACACAAATGTGCAAGCAATTGAGTCAGAGAAATACCGCAGAGGATGGACAAAGCTTGGATCATTGATTATTCGAAACCTGCCACCACCGGTGGGGTTCTCCTATTGTGACCCAATTGGCCCTTCTGGCGACGGACGCAGTTGTGGTTCTTGGAACGACACCAAAACAGCAAAGCACAGTCGGATTTTCATGGAGAATTGGATGGCTGCCTTCCCAGAGTGGCGTGACCTGCATGTTATGTTTAGCAAAAGTGTGATTCAGAACAACACAGAGAGTGGCACATCCCATGAAACTTTGATCATCTCTGACACTGAGGTATGGTTCTCATGACCTCTTTCTAGTAGGAGAGTCATATGCAGGCGTTTATGTGCCAATGCTGGCAAGGGAAATTCTCCAGCAGACAACTCATCCAGGACTGAATCTTTTGCAACATTGATTCAGCAGCTTCTAAGGGACATGCACTAGTACTCTTGTCACTCTGCAGGTTTGAGAAAGCAGCTTAAGGGCATTGCAGTGGGTGATGGATGCAACTGTGGTGTCGTCGGCAGTCTGCAAGAGTTTGTGTAGCAGCTGACTTGACACTGGTATGTTGGCGACAGCCTGCCAAATTTGCGCATCACCCTCTCTGTTTTTGAAAGATATTGACGTTTGATGATGTTTGTTTTTCATGACATCCTTGTTGCTCAGAAGGGGAGCAGACGGCACGTTCCAAGTCCACTTCTGGTGGTGGCTGCATAGAGACTGGTGGCCCTTTCTTCACAGTGGAGTTCTTCCATGGTCACGGACAGCGGCTTGTTTGTCCATATTTCTGGAGTTGACATGAATCGACCACGCGTTTGCTTTCATTCAAAATATCCAACGATCATCAACGATCTTTTTTGCATTTGGATGCCTTTCGTTTATCTCGATGACTCTTGCTCTGTAAGCTGAAGAAAGCAAGGTTCTCCGATAAAACGTATGCTGAAATCCAACGAACATGCTCGAGAGAGGACACTTTACTGTTGCATTGTCTCTTGGTTTGTGCCACTGCTGATTGTCGTTATCGACGCCAGTAAGCTGGCATCGTTGCTAGGAGCTGGTGAATGGAGTCAAGAGCCAGGATTGTAGAGCGGCCCTCTCCAAGATGGATGCAGAAAGAGGCTAGCCGCAAACCCACAGGGAGCAAGGACAGATAGGCTCAAGATGGACTTTGTAACAATGCCCTTGATCAGTCTTGCTCATTTCAGTAGGACGATTGCTAGGCTAGCAAGTGTAGTGATCTCTGGAGGATTTTGGAGGCTACCAATGGATTTTATTCTCAGGCTATTCCTTTGAATACAACCTCTATGACGAGTGCTATGGAACTGACCTGGTGCCTTGGCGAAGAATTGAACAGCACAATCTATATAACTAATTTACACAATGGAACGGTTCAAAAAGTAACAGATCATGTCATCATGTCTAAAAAAATGTCTCCACAATTTCACTCACGCATGTTTTCTCAAATAATCCAAGTACGGGCAGCTACCATGGAGAAGCTCATCGTGGGCGGAGATTCACCAACGAACATCTTGGCACATGGATGGTGCCTTGCCTCCACCATCACAAGGAGTTCACTGAAGGAGTCCGCAGATGTCTCGGTGACAACTTGTTCTCTCATGTATCCCACCTCCTTTGAAGTTGGTTCATTCATGTTCATTCAGTGCTTGGTTCTATGTAACAAGTGCCATCAAGGCACACCTTGTGGAGGGATCAGGGCATTGCGTAAGTGGGTCAACACAAGTGCTCCTTGGCAATTCAATGAAATTTGAAGAATAGACCTTTTCAACCTCTTGCAGAATTGGGCACGTTACATGTATATATTCTTTTTTTGACTGCCATTGGCCATTGTTTCTTGCAGATCGCATGTTTTAGAAAACCGCTAAAGTACTGCCACAGTGCGTTGTCACTCTATTCGCAGCGCCATTGCTTTGGAGGGCTTTGCATCGTGGGCTTGCGCTCAAGTTCTTGGGCATGTCATTTTATAGAACATTCCCCCGTATTGGAGACTCATGTGGCATGAAATGCATGGGCAGTTGTAAAGCTGGCACTGGTGGTACTGTACTGGCAACAGCGTTGAGGTTCGTCTCAAAGCTACAACCTCCGAACTGGGCTAGACCCACTAGCGGCATGGTTTGGCTGAGGGCCTGACGAAGCGTCTTCTGTGACTTCCAAGTCTCGTTGGTGTTCTTGCCGATGGTTGGTAGCTGGTTTTAGATGCTCTTTGCTCTGAAGGTTTGAGCATCAACTTGCACAAGCTGATTGGCACTCATTTTAGGAGCTAGTGACTGCTAGTGACAGGCTCCACAAAATCATTTGCTCCAACAGGTGTGCTCATGTGCTCCAAATATGCTCCGGGCTCCATATTAATATGATTCCCTTGCCATTCACAAAAAAACATCACGCGCTAAACTCCAAGCAGTAGCTCCCTTGCCACGCTCAGATGTTGATGATATTGTACGTTTAACTATTTATATGTATATATACGCAGTCTGCCGTGTACGATGGACGATGGCTGCATGACAATGTTTGTTTCAGGTCACATAAGGGATAATAAGCACATGTATATATATATATACACAACACTCTGATGACATCTGGCCCACTGAATAGACTATATAATGGAAACGGGCTCCCCAAGCCTCTTACCGGAGAGCAGAGCTTCAACGCGTGGATGCCATCAAGCTGTGCGGCCGGAATGGTGTGTCATTTGCTATGGTTCGATGCGTTTGTCATAAACCTCACTGGATGCCATCAACTTGTGTTGGGTTGCGACTGGTTTTGCTAAATGGCATCTGGATGTCAAAATCACAAACTGATGGCATTCCAAAGGCTTTCTGTCAATGCCAATTGATTATGAAACCCTATATAGTGAGTTAATATATGTCAATAGGGATGGGGTCCCAGTATAGTCGCTATACAGGTACATGCCATATACTTTTGGCTCAAGTGCCCAACCAGGTAAAAAGGAGCTTTAGCGCGCGAGCTTCATGTTGACCTAAGAGCTAGAACGGGGCCAGGGCACACCTTTCCATCCGTTCACAGGTTATCAGCCGTATCCAGACTCCTTTGGGCTGGGTACGAGCTGCGGCCTTACACAACACCATCTAAACGCACACGCATCGGATAGATCAGTTACCCTCAGTCACTGAAGATGGACCAATCCGACGCCAGCACTGCATCTTTTGGAGCAGCTGCTGCGGCCGCAGATCGGATGAGTGCATCCCACAACTCTAGTCCAGGTACGATCGAAGCGGAGACTCTGACAGCGGTGAGAGAAGATGCGACAGGTAGAGCACGAAGTCGTTCCCCGTCAGCGCACTCGACACCGCCGTGGGGGACACCGAGATCAGGCCGTAGCCCTAGGGAGACAAGGAGGAGGACTGACACCGGAGCTGTGAGAGTGTTAGCATTGGAGGATGGGTCAGCTGTACCAGTGCCGTCGGACAGCGAAGCTGGAGATCGAGCAAGGGCAAGCACTGACAACCTACAACTAGCACGGGCCGATGGAGACCTGAATGCGAAGTGTGCGCAACTACTTGCCGAAGTGCATATGTTGAACCACCAAAACGCATGGATGGTCGAATGTGAGCAGAGACAGAACCAGATTATACAACATGAGACCGAAGTCC